AGGCAGACTGTTTGTCGTTGAGTAAATAATGCGCATGCACGGTTTTTCTTGGGGAAACATTCTAACTACACATGCTTATGCAGCAGGTTCTCGGTCAGAAAGTGTAATGGTCATACATACAAACATAGATGATAAAAAACCTATAATTTATAGTATAACTATAACCCGAGAGCTTTCAAAAGGTGGATCTTTGCTCCTGGAGTAGAAAGGTCCACCTTTCGAAAGTGCTTGGGTTATACTTATAGGGTTTTTATTATTAATATTACAGTATAAACCTTTGAAAATTAAATGATACTGAGATAGTTAGTAATATACTATCATTATCAATCTTATCCTTGTATTACTATTAATAATAGTAATTATTATATCTTGTTCAAAAATTCAAGTTATACAGTTAAATGATGATTATACAAATTATTCATAATTTGATAAAGTAGGCCTTAGATGATCATAAAATATGTGCTTTTCTTTTGTTATTCAACTTCAAGAGATTCTGACCGTGTTCTTTTCGACTTGATTAGTGATAGTCTTGGCTTAAATTATAATGCTGAATATTGAGGTTGAATACTTGCAGTGGGCATGGTGAAGATAGTCCATTTTGTAACTTTGCATTTACCAACAAACAAACTAAATGAGTATGATTTTTGGTCCAACAGATTTTAAGTTAAGCCTATAAGAGTATTAGTATTACCGACCTGAACCGAATTGTAACACAAAATTCAGATATTAGGTCTGTTTTTTTGTTATAGATTGCAGGTAAATGAAAAGAAAAAAAGATAAAGGGCATATCCAAAGCCTAATTTTTGAATTATAACCACAGTTACTGTTAAACATGGTAAAATGTTAATACAGAATTACAAGAAGTAACACCATGAAGGATAATGATGATGGCAAGGATTTTCGTGCAGATTATGAGATGGCTTAGCTTTTAAATGTTTTTTGTTTGTCTTTTATGCTTTTACAAAAGAGGATATTAGAAATATTAATGATCCAGAATATTCTGTGAGAGATATTATACAAACATAAACAAATAATTTAAGGACAATACAGGACTTATTGGATCATCTAGGCCATCCCGTCCACTATACTAAACTATAAAATAAAACACTCAAAGCTAGTCCTTATCATTCATATATTTATCAAACCTTCCCTTAAACTCCCTTAAATTAACTGCATATGCAACAGCAAAAGGCAACTCATTCTTAATGCCAACCACCTGTTAGAAAAATATAATTTAGTTGAATATAATTCCTACCATGCCAAAATTTATATTTGTGTCCCTTAATATTACCATTCTCACCATTAAATATGATAAAAGATGATGCATCAACACTATCATTTTCCTCAACAATCTTAAACACCTTAATCAGATCCCCTCTAACTATTCTAAAACAATTTCAGATATCTTAACCCATCCTTGTATGAAAACTTTTTTATCCAAGGTATCATCCTAGTGTGTCTTTTCTGAACCATTTCCAATAATTAAATATCTGTTCTAATGTAAGGAGCCCAAGGCAAAACACAGTACTATAAAAATGGCATAACCAATTACATTATAACCTCTTTACAGTTGTATAAATTATTTCTGTAGATAAATACAAAAATCCTGTTTGTTCTGCTACTGGAAATATCACATTATTTTGATGGTTTAAGAGATTGATCAACCAGAACACCAAGATTCCTTTCTTCCACAACACTGTTAAGATTATTCCCATTAAAAGTATACTCATAATTCAAATTGTGATATCCCACATGCATTACCTTGCATTTATTATAATTAAAGCAATTGGCCATTTATTTGCCCAGGTTGTCAAGTGATCCAAATCCATTTGTAAATCAACAGTATGATTCCCACAGTTATTAACATAAAACCTTAAAGGCTTAATATCAGCAAATTTAGATTGGTTATTGACTATTTCTTCATCTGTGACATTGAAATAGATCAATAAAATCAAAGGTCCTAACATTGAGCTCTGAGGTACCCTACTTGTATTATTAATCCAGTTTGAATCAACTTGGTTTCTAACAACTCTCTGCTTTCTTCCATCCAGTCAGTTTTCTATCCAATGAGCTAACCTATCCCACACAACTATAAAAATAAATTATTTTTTTAAGCAAACCATTTATGTGGTACCTTGTCAAATGCTTTCTGAAAATCCAGATGCACCAAATCTACACACTCGTGTGAATAACCAATAACCTGTTCCAAGAATGTCAAAAGATTAGTAAGGTAGTATTTTTCCCATAATGAAATCATACTGACTATCCAACAAAATTTTAACCTTTGTTAAATGACTTTGCAAAACATTTTTTACCAGACCCTCAAAAACCTCTTTCTTCCCACTGCTGATGTAAGACTAATAGGCCTATAATTACTGAGACAATCATTATCACCTCCTTTGAAAAATGAAGTAATATTAGTCACTTTCCAATCTTCTGGCACCTGCCCACTATGCAAGGACGTAGAACAAAATAGTAACAAGTGGCTTACTCATCTAAACCTTAACCTACTTAAACCCTTGCTTTTGAACTTCCCAATTTTTTTTCTTAACAAGCTCAAAACTAATGTGACCATATTGCTCAATCTTGTTTCTATGAAGCAGCTATTCAGGATGACAGATATTGTTTAAATCTTCATTAATAAATTGAAGAAAAACTAGAATTTAATAAATCAGCCATCCAGTAATCATCAGGTATTAATATTCCTGTATCATCACTGAAAGGTCCTACTGTCATCCTAACATTTTACCTATTCTTTATGTATTTAAAGAAATTCTTACTATCAGTTTTTACATTTTAAGCCACCCTTTTTCATAACATTTTTTGTATACCCAATTTCTTGTCTGACCAACTCCAAATCTCCCATCATTGCATTCAATTTACACTTCTTAAATTTATAATATATTTCATTAATTTTATCCTTTATACCCTTTGTGGGCCAACTTGGTCTTTTTACATGGAGCCACTTTTTTTTTCCATAAGAATTTATTTGAAAATGTTGTTCACATTTTATCAGTGTCTACAGTTAGTTCATTTGACCAATTCACAACAGGTATGTATTGTCTCATCCCTTGGAACCAAAATTTCATTATTCCTTATTTCCATATGCAGCAAAACATCAACCTAGTTGAGCAATGATGAGTTGCACCCAGGTTTTCCCCAACCTCCAATCATATTGGCCTGGATCATGAGAGATATTAATCCATTGATAGAAAGAAAAATATTTAGAAGTAAAAACATAAAAGGAGGTGAAAGATTAAATATGTCTCCTTGTCTCTAGTAAGCCAATTACATTTGATCTTACCTATTATCCTTTCCTCCTTTTAGGAACTTTCCTATCTTGAATTAAAAGCAATTATTTTCTAAACATTTCCCAGTTCTGTTCCACATTACATTTTTACTTGTTATTCCTATATACTAATGATAAGTCTTGTCCCATGACTAAGTTGGCTTTCTGAAATTAGGAACTAAAATTTCATTTTTTTTTATCCTAACATGCATCAAATCACCAAACCTAATTATGCAATGATTGTTTTTTTCCAAACATTATACCATTACAACTCTTGTAACCATATCCTTGTTAGTGATTAGCAATAAATCTAAAATGACATCCCTTCTTGTTGGATTTCTGACCATTTAGTATAGAAAGCTATTCTAAATCACTTCAAGAAATATCTCTACTCAGTATTTGACTTCATATAATCCTAATCTGAGTCTAAAATTCATTTTCCATAATTAAAACAAGAGTATTCTTATTAGTAAGCAACCTGACCTTATTATACAATTTCTCATATACATCATTAGTCTGATCAGGTGGTGTATAGGAATTTCCAAATAAACACGTACCTTTGAACCATCTGATTGTTACTTGTATGGATTCATCCTCTTGATTACAATTGTCTTCAATTCCAACAGACTGCATTTCATTCATTATATAAAGAACCAACCTATCTTTTAGAAAGTCTGTCACTATTTAATAATTTATAGCCAGGAATTTCAAAATAATTCCTATTACCAGTGTTCTCTAAATCTAATCAAATTTCAAAATAATTCCTATTATCAGTGTTCTCTAAATCTAATCAAATTTCAAAGTAATTCCTATTATATAACTATGTCATAGTTTTCTATTTCAGCTGTAGCCCTGAACTCGTCCATTTTGTTCTTAAAATTACTATGTTTATCTTTGTATCTGACAGATTTATCCTTGAAACTTATTTAACTCTAGTTATCTGATCACTTTTAATACTTGGAGACGGCTTGAATGGGTAATGAAGAAAAACTTTAATATAAGTTTAACATAACAGCAAATGTACAATGTTTCGACAAGGTTTTGTCATCATCAGGTATATTCTTCATTACCCATTCAAGCATTATTAGTCTCAAAGTGAGTTCCTTGTCATCGAATCTGATAACTTTGTTTATTCCCTCACCAGTTTAGTTTAAACTATCTTTAATGAATATTTTTAGAGCTTTTCCAAACCTCCTACTAATTAATCTGCTTAACCATCTCTAGCATATCATGCATTCTAACCCTGAAAACTATTCTTCAGGTTCAAAAAGCACACCTATTGCTCTAAGCATATCTTAATAATGTTTTCATTTAATTTAAGCCTTTGATCTTACTAAGTAATTCATTCTCACATCTTACCAAAGGGATCACTTCCAAAAGGACCATGTCTGTGTCTATCTCTAATTTTTTTTCTAAGCAGCTTTTCTGATTCACAGTTTCTAACATTATGCACTACAAAAAAGAGAATGTTCCTGGTTCCAACAACCAAACTGTCAACATGTTCTATAATGGCCTATATTTCTTTTTGTTGCATAATGCTGTATTAGCATACATTTACATAGATAAATTTTTGGTGCAAATGTTGTATTTTTTCTCATTGAAACAGTATTGTAATTAGTAATATAAACCTTAAAGATAAGTCACTTCATACATATTTGTTATTGTTAAAAATAAAAATAACTGGAAGTTAATGTGTCAATAAGTGAAATTTGATGGCACCTGTTTTACAAAAGAAGAAATAAATGTATAGTTACAATGAATTAAGAAGTTATGAGCCTACCATTTCTGTAACAAGAACTATGATTTTTTTTATGCTGAATTAAAATGTTTACCCTAGCAAATATTAAGGTAGTTTTATCTACTTTACTGTGAATATTGTAGCTTGATTATTTTCTGGAACTTTTCAGACTGCAGCAATGTTCCTCATTCTTGATGAAGAACACAAACACCACCTGAACTTCTTCACAACTGTAGAGCCACAGGTGGCAAAAGAATTCTGCAGGATATCACTAGAGTTTCTTCAAAATGGGTCTAATGCAAAGGTATACCAGAATGTAGCACAGAAGCTGGGATCAAACTTAGAAACAGTGAAACATGCAGTGGAGGGCCTTATGCGTGTACTTTCAGAGGCCTGTAAGCTTAACCTCAGTGAAATGGAGCTGCAAGACTCTCTGTCAATTCTAGATTTACAAGAGGAGATAAAACAGGAGATTGTGCGGTGGTATGTAGACCATACTGTAGAGTTGCGCTCAGCTCTCAGTAGCCTGAACATGAATCTTCTGCAGTACAGTAGCCTTGAATGGAGATTTGATGTTCAAATTGCAAGTCGCTGTCTGCGTCAGCAGGTGACTCCACTGATCATCCTTAAGTTAGACCTCTGCAAGGATGGAAAGAAGCAACCAGTGGTCCTTCAGACTGATCCATGTAACTTAGTTCACCTCACAGAAACCTTAGAAGAAGCTTTAACAGAAGTAAAGTCACAGCACACCCGAAGGATGATGAGGAACATCAAATGATGTGTTGGACAATTCAGTGATTCTACCAAAAAAATGTAAAAGTTGAAACTGTATTACTTTGTAATAAAAATGCTTGTTCATGTTTATTGATTGATGAGCTATACTTATGTAATTCCTTAAAGGAGTATTAATCGATAATATGGGCAATGTATTAATCTTGTGATCTTAGCTTGGTCAAAATGTGCATTTCATGATCTTTTAGAGTTAAATTCAAAATTTAATTAAAGAACTTAATTATTAAAAAAAACAGTTAAAACACAGTTTATAATTCAAATTTTTGTGTTAAGATTTAATTTCAAAAGAAAATATTTAAATAAATTCTCAGTCTTCACTTCTCTGTGTCATGTGATGCATCTCCTCTTTGATTTCCACATTTTAGAATTCTTTTTTATTGGTTTCAGAGTGACCAAGCAATTAGAAACAAAATAATCAGTAAAAAGATTGATTTTCTGATTATGGTTATTTATCTCTGGCAAGCAGGTGTAGACAGTTTTGTCAAATGGGTTGTTTTTTGTTCAGCTTCGAGCAACTAATGGCATTTTCTAACCTATTTATATCTTAATTAGAAGCCAGTTAAATTATAGTAGTTTCAGACATTCTG